TAACACAAGTCTTAAAGCGAATCCGGACAAGAATTACACCCAGTATGAGGTGTTGTACCCGGTATTTGGGGCGTAAGTCATTGTTTTTGCGCGATAACACTACTTAGGAGTAGTACCATGGGATAGAGAATTTAATTCTGCATCTAACACACTCAACTAGAAAGTTAACACAAGTCGTAGAGCGAATCCGGACATTAAATACATAATATTTGTTATTGTTACACAGGGAATAAACCAGTATTTCGGGGAAAGTGGTGGTTTTTTGCCCGATGACCCAGCTTGAAACTAGTACCATTGGATAGAGGATAAAATTTCGCACCTAACACAAGTGTGTAGAGAGGTAACACAGGTAAGAAAGCGAATCGGGACAAGAAATACTCGAATCTGGTGCTAACTTTACTTACGTAAAGGAAAATTAATTCGTATAGCTATGTATAATGAATCTAGCTTTTGAACACATAATTGTGACAGCTGAACGCAAGAAAATGTGGCGATTGAAAGGGCTAACACTATAATTTTCTTCTTTTTTTTTTATGGCTCATTTTAGTTATCGAGCTAATCTTTGGGCATTGAAACAACTTGGCGTTGATTTAGTTTTAGCTACGACAGCAGTTGGTTCACTTTCTGAAGATTTTAAACGTGGTACTCTTGTTGTTTTTGGTATTGATTTTGTTTATTCTATTATTCATTTTCATCAAAATTTTGATTATAATTTAGATAATTTCATTGATATGACCAAGCATCGTCCGAATACATTTTATGATCATGAGCCTGGTCATCTTGAAGGTTTGTCAATTATCATTATGTTTTATAATACATAGGGAATAAAAATAACCCTATCGAACATTTATTCGTCCTATTGTTGGTATACTGATAGTAAATTGGTGACTAGAGGAGGGTGTGTGGGTGGATTAAGATGAGATGAATACTCGCACTCACCCCTCAGCATTAGTGTCTCAGAATAGAAGATATCAGAAAATCGAACACTTTCTTTAGATGATCATTCGAAGAATTCTTTCGTTAGCATTAATCTTTTATGATATACAAATTGAAATATTATTTTTCTAGGTGTAATGCATATGAGTATGCATCCACCATATGATCGTGAATTACGTCAATTATTAATTCAATCATGTGCTGAAACACCTGATGTTACATATAAAGAAAAATCAACTGTGGTTGTTATTGAAGGACCAAATTTTTCAACATATGCTGAAAATAAAGTTTTTATTAGTTGGGGTTGTACAACAATTGGAATGACACAAACACCAGAAACAATTCTTGCAAAAGAATTAGGTCTACCATATGCAGCACTTGGAATTGTAACTGATGACATTTGTTGGAAAGAAGATGGTTTGTTTAATGTTTTGTTTTTGTCATATGATCAAAGAACGAAAAAAGTCAATATATGATTTTATTCTAGGTATTGTCGAACCAAATGAGGTTATAACAATATTTAAAGCAACATTTCCAAAAGCAGTGAAAATACTTAAACGTACAATACAAAAAATAGGTGAAAAAGATTGGAAAGAAATATTAGAAACAATTCGAAATCGTACAGAAGAAGCAATTATGAAACATTGAAGAAAAAAAACGCAAACGATCAAACAGATGTCAATACTTTTGACTGTTTTTCTCTAACATTATTTGCTCTACTTTGCAACGTGGTTTTTTTCTGATTAAAAAACAAAAAACTTTTTTTTTATACTCATGATAAAGTATCGGATGAGTGAAAATGATTGAATATTTTGAAAATATTACAAAACACTGATAAATCTTAAAAACGTTGAATTCTTTTTTTTTTGTTAAAACATACATCGTTAAAGTCTCTTAACAAATAGCAATAAAAAAATCATGTTGAATTTTTATAATGATTTTCTTATAAAGCTAAAACTGAAGCACTATTCTGATAGTAAAATTTTCTATTATTTTGAGAGAAATCATAATGAAAATAACATTATTTCATCACCAATAAATCATAAAATCTTCAATTGTTTTGAAGAGGATCAACGCATAATAAAAATGGTGGTCTTAGATTGATTACGATTCTTTTAATCGAAGAGGTCATTTGAAAAAAAGAAGTGAATTTTATAAGAATAGGCTAAAGATGTTTGGGATTTATGAGCCCGAATATATAAGAAATTTATCGAAATTTTCGAGGTTGGTTGTCTTATTTAAGAAAAACTTTCTTCTCGCAATTTATCGTTAGTTATATGTTATAGAATTCGAATATTT